CCTTTCTCCATTGCCCCCCCATTAGAAGGTAAGCTCCTTGAGGGCAGAGGCTGTTTTTACCATTCTTTGCATCCCCAGAGCTTAGCACAATACTTGGCACATAGTAGGTGCTTAATAAATGCGTGTTGATTGATAGCCCTGGATTCTTCCCAGAGTGGTTATCCATGAATATTGATGGAACTTAGTTCATTCTCTCATTAGACAGCACATATTTGGGTCTAGGCTCCAAGTTAGACCTTGATGAGGACTGATCTCAGGCTTTCCCCCACAGCATAGTTGAGTCCAGGGCCAGTCACTGCAGGGGCTCCATAAATGTTTACAGACTAATTGGTGGTTCCCCCTTCTTCCCTCCCACATCCAGAAGGGTACCCCACTCACCGCTGTCTTAGAGCTCTCTGTATAAGGCAGTGGCTTGGCCAGTCTCTCCACATCAGCCCCACTTGAGCCCACTTGGGTGTAGGAATAGGAGCCCCGGAAGTGGGGGTTACTGCCCCAGGAGGAGCGGAGGATCCGGCGAGGCTTCGGAATGTCAGGGTTCCCTGTTGGGGATCCACACAAGAGGAAGGGGTGAGAGGTGGACCCTGGGAGAATGCAGAGCCCCTCCTCCAAGGACCTGAAAGCTGAGGAAATTCCCTGACCCACAGGCAGAGACAGAGCCAGTGGCCACCTCAGGGATGGGTACGGAAGAGGTATGGAGGGAGGGTTGGGAAGGAAGTCACAATTCATTAGAGGCAGCGTGGTACAGAGGAGAGTTGGAGAGTAAAAAAGACCTGGATTGTAATCACAGCTCTACCACTTGCTTCCTGGGGACTGTGGGCATCAGGGCATCTTTGAGACTCAGTTTCTCATCTCCAAAATGAGAAATTTATATTCAATGACTTCTAGTGTCCCTTGCAGTCCCAAATCTGAGCTTGGCCTGAGATACAGCACACCAGATTTGAGTCAGAAGACCTGGCTTCAACTCCCGGTTCAGCCATTTATCACACACGTGACTCTGGATAAGCCCTTTACCCTCTCTCGGCCCATTACAGCTCCAAAATGGGGGAGGGGGAAGTCCCAGAAATATCCACCTTCATCACTCGGAATGCCTTCTTTCCTTCCAGACACAGATGAAGCGCCACCTTCTACACGAGGCCTTTCCTGACCCACCCCATCCCCAGATGCCAGGCCCCTGGCCACCTTCCTCACTCTGTGTAACTCTGCGTGTTCTTTTCTATGTGCTCAGATCTGGATATGTTGTTTCTAGACTGTCAGCTCCCTGAGAGCAGGAACTTGCTTTCACTTTTATCGTGCTGTCCCCAACACCTAGCACAGGGACAGGAATAATTAATGCTAGCTAATTGATTCACTCTCAAGTCCTTTCTGGCTCTAAATCTATGATCCTATTGGCCACCACTACCCCCTAAGTCACTGAAATCCTCTGGGCTTTTTTTTCCCTCATCTGGAAAATAGATGCCAGTAACATGCTTCCTCCCTACCCCCCAGAGGTGAAGCTCTATTGGGATAACAGATGGGATACACAAATACAAGTGGCAGGGGCCATGCAAGAGCCAAGCTCTGATTTGGCTAAAGCATGCTTTTGGTGACTGACATTCAGAAAGAAAGGGGGTGGCAAGCACGGAATTAGGTGCTTGACAAGAGAATGCTTGGTTGTCTTTTTTTTAACCAATTTAACTCCATTGCAACCTTCTCTAGAGCCTCCCCCTGGTTTGCCTGGGTCCTTGGATGCCACACCATCTTAAACCACGCTCTACCCAGGCCTACGAATGTGGAAAAGCTCTAAGAATGGACCTATGGGCCCCAGATCCGTCACCCAATGACCAGCCTAGCTAAGTTTGGAGAACTTGTCAGCAGGTTGGCTACAGCCACCCTCAATGACCATCTGTTCAGTTTTAGGGGAGTTGTAACTACATTAATGAAGGGAAGATTCATGCAAGGAAATCACAGCTGTTAAAAGCATTTTCACCCAACCTCATTTTAAAGATGGAAAAAAGGAGGCTAGCAAGCGACAGTTACGTACTGACTTCAGCCAGGAGCCTTAGAAACAAAAAGGTACAAACGTCTACAGCCCCGACTAGAGCTAAAACCTCTGGATTACAGCACCAGTTCTCCCACTTATCAGTTTGGGAAAGTCATTGAGCTTCTGTGACTTGGTTTCCTCAACTGTAAAATGGGGGGGAAATAGCATCTGCCAACCTAAAGTTTTTTGTTAAGATCAAATGACAGTATTTGTAAAACATTTAACTTGGTGCCCGGCACAAAATAGGAGTTATTGTTATGATCATCATCATCATCATCATTATTATTAGGATAGAAGCAGAATCAGGTAAGGAGCAGGGAACAGAGGGAACGCCATGTTAATGCGCTAAAACAAAGTGCAAACCCTGCTATCCCTTAAAAAGCAAGGAGTTCTCCTTGATAGAATCAGGAAGACATGACCATTGAGAGGGCCAAAGGTTAGCCCCAACCCTGGTGGCCTTTAGAAAGATGAGCCTGCTGGTCCAACACCACGCAAGAGGCAGGGAGCAGCTCCGTGGCATGTGCCTCTAGCAGCAAGCAGAAGGGTAGGGGCTTTTCTCTCAGCTCTAATTTTATAGTTGAAGGAACTGAGGCCCAGGCAGGTGCGGTGATTTCTTTACGGTCACACAGACAATAAGCATTAGAGGTGAGATTTGAACTCGGGCCCTTTGACTCCAAACCCAGTGATCTCCCCATTATAATCTGCCTCCCCGACCTGCCTATCTTAGCTGATCCGCTCCTCAGACGATAGATGAGAACACACTCTGGACCTCAAAGAAGGCTGACTGAGGGGAGAGGCTATTGGAGGATGGACGCCCCGCCCGCCCACCTGTGAACTTCCGAAGCATCTCGGTGCAGATCTCGGCCACGGCCTCGTCGTCACACTTTTCCATGACGAGGGCCTCCTCCCCGCAGATCCAGCCACTCAGCACGTGGCCGTAGCGTTCCGGGGGGTAGAGGACGTCAAAGCCACAGATCTTGCGGTACCACAGCTCCTCGGGGTAGGTGAGGCTCCGGCTCTCAGCTTCGTCCTCCCACACGAACTGGAGGCTGTTGCATTCGGCCCCCCAGAAGGGCTCTTCGAACTCCAGGAAGATCTTGTCGGTGGTGCCAATGCCCAGGCGGCGGATGGCTCCCGCCTTCTCTGAGGGAAGCCCGGGCCTGAAGAGGGTGGAATGATGCTTCTTCAGGACGCCCAGGGACACGGTCACGATCACGTGATCAGCTGGGATCACCTCGCAATCCTCGCACTCCACAGCCGCTGGCCACTGGCTGCCCTCCTCTTCTCTTCCTTCACTCCTGTCCTCCCCGGGGTCTTCCCCGCCTTCGTCGGGGGTGTCGTTATTGTGGTCGGCCAGCTGCTCGATCTCGGGGCCCCCACGTCGAGCTGCCGCCTGGTCCCAGTGCACGCAGCGGACGGCCTTGCCCAGCTGGATGACGCGCTCCGGGATGTCCTGTGCCAGCAGCTCGACGATGCGCATGAAGCCAGAGGGGATGACGTGGTGTGCTCCCGGAATCTCCGTCCACTCTCCGAAGGCGCTGAGGGACACCTCATCCATGCTGTGGGAGCTACTCTCACAGCTCTCCACCTGTCGGAGGAAGCGAGACGGAGAGGAAGAGGGAGAAAGAATGAGGGAGACGATGAGCAAAGAGCCTGTGCGCCAGAGCTCTGCTAGGCCAGGGGGGCTTCTAATTAGCTAAAGCACAGGGGGACTTCCCCGACAGCCTGGAACCTCCCACACAGTCAAGTTTCTGTCTCTCCCATAAGACTGGGAGGCCACCCAAAGTTAGGGAGCGTTTCTGACATTAGCCAGGGAGTTCCACAGTCAACCCCATGTCTTCTGTTTGTATACTGCCCTGCTGCCTCCTGTAGGGCATGGTATATACAGCAGAGACTTGATAAATGTCTGTTCAATGAATCAATGAAGGAACAAATGAATGAGGGTCAGCCAAAGTCAGAGACTATCCCCAGCATCACCCAAGGAGTTCCCAGGCCCTGCAAGCAGCTGAGATCTGATAAATGTTTGCTCACTACATTCAAGAATGAGTTAATAAAGGATTCCACGGATGGGAGGCAGCTTGGTGCACTGGACAGAATGCTCCACTGTCAGTCAAAGGACCCTGGCTCCAATCTCGGCCTGCCCACTTGCTGCACCCACTGGGCACGTTATCAGGCCACCTCTCTGGGCCTCAGTTTCCTCCTCTGTAAAATCAGGGTGTGAGACTTGATGGCCTCTAGGGATCTAACCTGTCCAATTGGGAGATTCTGACTCCCCACCTTAGGCAAAAGGCCCTCTTAGGGGTTGGGAGGACATCATCCCCCAAATCAGGCCAAAAGACTCCCTGAGAATAAGAACTGCCCCGCCCTTTGGGTGAGGGGCTCCAGGAGCAGGGGATGTGTCTCCTCCCTCTGCTTCGTCCCCCACCATCCAGCCCACAGAGATCAGGGAATCATCAGAAGAAACCTCAGAGATAAGCTGGTTCAACTCCCTTCACAGGCAAGTGAGGAAACAAGCCCAGAGATGGTCAGTGACCTGGCCCTGGTGCCACAGCCTCTGCCCTGCCCAGGCTGCGCCCCACCTTCAGATACTGCTGGATCATGGCAAGCTTCAGGCGTTTGGTGGACTCTGAGTCATCTGGGTCGGCTTTGATGCGGTTTCGCACTTCTTCTCGGGTGAAGACACCCACACTGTTCTGACTCTCAGCATTGACTGGTTTACCTCGCTGGAAGAACTCCTGGGTCAGGTTATAGACCTGGGGGGAGGAAGAGACGAGGAAGTAGGAGGAGAAGTGGAAAGGCTTCCATCCATTCACAGGCTCACCCACCTCCCGCTGGAAGGGGCCATTGAGGGCAATGGGTCCAGCCGCCTCAACTTACAGATGAGGAAACCGAGGCCACAGGGCTTTCCCCAAGGCCACCCATGGAAGAGCCAGAGTTAGAAAGGGCTTCAGAAGTCATCCGGTCCAGCCCTCTCATTTTCTAAATGAAACCGAGTCAGCTCAGAGAGACCAAGTGACTTGCCCAAAATCATGAAAATAGTGAGCAGGGTCATAGGGACCATTGACCTAGAGTTGGAAAGAACCTGAGAGGCACCAGAGGTGGGGAATCTGCAGCCTCAAGGCCCTTTGACTGAATCCAAACTTCACAGAACAAATCCCCTTAAGAAAAGGATTGGTTCTGTAAAACCTAGACTCAGTCAAAAGGCCGCACTCAAGGACCTAGAAGGCCACATGTGGCCTCGAGGCTGCAGGTTCCCCACTTCCGGCTAACCACTTCCACTGCCTCATTTTACAGATGTGGAAACTGAGGATCCCAGAGGTTAAGCAAGCTGCCCACAGCCATACAAGTAGCGAGTTACAGAACCAGAACTCTAGATGGGTCCTGTCTCTGGCTCCACGTGGGGCATCCCTTCCCCTGCCTCAATTCTAACCCACATTCCAATTGGAGCCTTCCTCCAGGCCCCAGCTCCAAGTCATCTCCTCCAGGGAGCCATCCTGGATTAGTCTCCCCGGACAGTGTGTCTGTTCATTCAAGCCCCTTAGCACTTGCCTACTTAACTCTGCTAGGCTAACTTCTCTTGTTGTTTTAATGCTTGTTTCTTAAAGACAAGGGGTGTGTGTGTGTGTGTTGGGTGAGTGTGGGGGAGGTGGGGTTGTATGTGTAAGTGGGTGGTTGTTGTCTCTCCCATAAGACCAGGAGGTCCCTGAGAGATGCAAGATCAGACAGAAGGCTTTAAGGGGTTTCCCCTACCAGACCAGCGGCTGAGATATAACACTAACAAGTCCAGGTGGATGGGGGCCACATCACAGAATCTAGGGGCGGCAGGACCACAGTGACCACCTAGATTCCTGTCCAACCCATACCTCAGAAGAAACCCCCTTACAAAATCCTTGGCAAGTGGCCCCCTGTAGCGAGGGGAAGACCACCACCTCCCAGGCAGCCCTGCCCACTGATGGCCAGAGAGCTCTCCCTGGTTTCCTGTATCGTGTGTCCTTGATGAACCCAAGAGGAAGGAGAAATTTTCCCGGGCCCTGACTGGGTTCAGGTTCTAACTAAAATTCCCTGCGTGACTTTGAACATATCAGTTAACCTCAGTGGACCTGTTTCCTCCCTATAAAATTAACAAGTTGGACTAAAGATCCCTAAGGACTTTCTGGCTCTAACAGGGAGTCTCTAAGATCTTAGTGGGAAAAAGATATTCCCCTCCCTGGTGGCCTCCAGCTCCAAGGCTGCGTGACGGTCCCCACCGCCCCCAGGAAGCACCCGAGGGGCCTTGGCCAGGCCCCACATGTGTCTGTGCACGTATCTCCCTCCAAAGAGCCCAGACCCCTGGTTTGCCGTTCCCCTCCGACAGCTCTCTTGGGTTCTGTGTCAGGGTTGCACGTTCGAGATCTGAGAAGGGGAGGGGACGGGGGGAATGGTTTCTTAAGAGACCCCAGCCTTTCCCTCGGTTACCAAGCATTGCTATGGAAAGCCAATCTATCTGGTTTAATGAAACAACAACCTCAGAGCCACATCCAAAAGAACAGCACCATGGTATTGTGAACTGAGCACTGGACTTCAAGTCAGGAAGTCCTGGATTCAAATGCTACCTCCACTACTTACTAACTGTATGACTCTAGGCAAATTCCTTAACCTCTCAAGGCCTCAGTTTCCTCATCTGCAAAATTTGGGGGTGGGACCCAGTGCCACTAAGGTCCCTGACCTCTCTGGATCTACAAACCTAAGTCATATAACATCTCTGGGCCTCAGTTTCTCCATCTGTAAAATGAGGGGATCAGATTTCTAAAGTTCCTTCCAGCCGTAAATCTAGGTGGATAAGGGATAAGCTCACGTAGGGAAACTCTCGGAGGGAGGCCTCTGAGACACAGCGTGGACGCCCAAGACTGTCCAATCCACCCAGGTTTGGGGTCCACCACACTGCCAAGTTTCCAACATTCCCTTGTCTTTGTAAGACCTGCTTTAAGAACCAGTTCAGTCAATGTCATCGCTTTACAATCAGGAGCTCCTACGGACCCCGAGGATACCCCTCGTCAGGTTCCCCAACTTCTTTGCCAGACTTGGCGTCCCCTCTTACAGTCTTCCCACCCTAGCCTCCCTCTCCAACCATCTCCAGCCCAGCAGGTGGAAGTGAGGGCACCACTCCTGACTCTCTAAGGCCTGGAATTGGCTAGTTATTTCTGGGACCCAGCATGGCCACCCAAAAGCACCCTTATCCTCCCTCCACTTTCCCCTTATGTGGAAAGAGAGAGAAAGAAGGAGGAGGAGGAGGCCCCCTCTGAGGCCATTTGAAAGCAGACCCATGGACTATAAAAGCCATCCCCCAAAGAGGAGCACGAGCTCTGAGGCTGTCATTTCAAGGGACATATCGGGCTGGCTCAGTCATGAGCACCGCTCAGGTAGGGTCTCCTTAGGAATCCCCCCACCTCCGGGGACTGACCCGGCAGACCACGGGTTAGGGCTCTTTGGAGAGGGAAATGTGCCCAGATAACAGGAGCCCTGGCTAAATCCCCTCTAAAGCTTCCTACTGGTTGTGAAAACAATCCCATGGCCCCAGAGCTGGAGGTCACCTGAGAGGGGAACTTCTTTTCCCACCAAAGTCTTAGAGTCACAGTGTTAGGAATGGAAGGGACCTTAGGGACCATCCACCCGACCCCCTAATTAGACAGCAGAGGAAACAGTCCCAGAGAGGTTAAGCTACCCAAGGTCACACAAAGCTTGGTCCGAACCAAGAGGTCGATCAATTCCTTCTCCACGAGATGAGTGTCACAGGGAATGTGTGATATTAGGGAAAACTTCCTAACTCTAACCGGGTCTGTTTTCTTAATAACTGATCCACAGAAGGTACCGTTCATCATTAGAACACCAACTGTCTGTTTCACTTTCTACACAGCCAGTCAGAGGGTAACAGAAACACAAAATCTGGGCGTTTGGAGGGACTTCTGGGCCCGCCTGGTCCAACCTCAACCCAACCAGGAATCCCCTTCACAAAATCCCTGACAAAAAGTGGTGATCCGGTCTCTGCTTGAATACCTGAGTGACAGGGAACTCACCACCTTCCAAGGCTTCAGGTATTAGGACATTTTTTCTTACACTTAACTGAAATCTGGAGCCAAGCAGCACAAGCCTAGGTGATAATTCTTCAAGGCTAACCATCCCCATTTCTTTCCACCCGATGGTAAATCACAAAGAGTAACTCGGACTTTAATGAACTGACAAGTATTCATGGAAAAACCACGAGGCAGTATGGTGAAAAGGATAGAGGACTGACGGAATCCTCCCTCTGACCCACACTAGACCTGCCCAAGTCCCTTCGGGTCTCGGTGGCCCAGGTCACTCCCAAAGACTCTGAGCTACCGAGGAGTAGCCCATCTTTCTCATGGAGAGACCTTCCCTGTCACTGAGGGTTTCCCACACTGATGGCAGCCAGGTGGTACAGGAGATAGATCATTAGACTTGGAGTAGGAAGACCTGAATTCAAATCCTGCCTCAGAAGATTAGTAGCTTTATGACCCTCAGCAAATCACTCAGCCTCAGTTTTCTTCATCTAGAAAATGGGTTTGAAAATAGCACCCCTCTCCCAAGGTTGAGGATCCAGTGAGATAATGCTTGTATCGTTGCTGTTCAGTGGGGTCCAACTCTTTGTGACCTGTTTTCATAGCAGAGATACTAGAGTGATTTGCCATTTCCTTCTCCAGCTCATTTGACAGATGAGGAAACTGAGGCAAACAGGGTTGAGTGACTTGCCCAGGGTCACACAGCTAGCAAGCCGAAGGCTGGATTTGAACTCAGGAAGACGAGTCTTCCAGACTCCAGGCCCAGCGCTCTGCACTATGGCGCCACTTCGCCACCAGAATACTTAATAAAGCGCTTTGCAGGCATGCTAACTATTGTTACTGTTGCTGCAATGGTTATCTAACTCTGTAACCATCCTTGCGCTTACTATACCTTCTTAAACTTTTTAAAGAATCTGTACTCCGTCTTCCTTCACCTAATTCTCGGGACCCACTTGGGAAGCAAAAATAATCACGCTGTGGTCCAGGTGGGCGAGCCGGGCCCAGAGAGGGACAGTGGGTTTTCCAAAGTCACACAGCAAGCGAAGGACAGGACCAGGCCCCCCAAATTCCAGCTCCCCAACTCCCAGACTTGGGGAGCTCCTTGCCTCCTTGCCCCTCTGCCCCCATCACCCACCTCGTTGTATAAATCGCTGAATTCCTCAACCACGTCCTTAGGGATTCTTTGGCCACGATTGGTGAGGTAGTAGGCCACGCCATTCTTGGAGTAGAGGCTGATGCGGCCCACACTGCGCTCCGCGTCAGTTGTCTCTTCCAACAAGCCATTTTCTTCTGCTAGATGGTAGACGGGGTTTCCATGGGAACCATGGATCCAGGTAGCTCCCAGTTCAAAGGTGGCGTGTTCTAATGAAGAGGACGGTCACAAGAGTCATCTCTCCCATCGGCATACAGCTTCCTTAGCGTCACATAGAATAAGAAGGGAGCCCAGAGGCCCCTGAATCGGGCCCCCTCATTTTACAGGTGAGATGACCTGGCCAGCATCCCGCTGCAGGGTCCTAAGAGCACGGCTCCAGAGGCGAAAGGCGCCCCCGAGGTCATCGAATCAATCCACCCTCTTCATCTACAGATGAGGAAACTGAGGCCCAGAAAGGAGAAGTGACTTGCCTAAGGTCACGCAGCTCCTGGCTTTCCCTCGTTAGGCAGGGCAGGCATTAACACGCCTCTTGTAGAGCTAAAAAAGTAAGCCCAGAGAGAGCACCAACTTGCCTCCAAATGGAACCCACCAGTCAAAGTACCTGGGTTCAAATTCTGTCTCGGTTTCTTACTGTATGACCTGGGAAAAGTCAAGTCACCTCTATGAACCTTGGTAAAATGAAAGGATTGGGCTTAGATAGCCTCTAAATCCCTTCCTATTTCTACATTTCCCATCTTCAATGTAGCAGAACCAAGGGAATTACGTCCACTGGGGTGGGTGTGGACAGCACTGGACCTGGAGGCACAAAGACTAGGGTTCTAGTCCAGCCTCAGACACTCACTAGGGGTGCAGTCCTGCGAAAGTCACTTAGCCTGTCTCAGCCTCAGTTTCCTTATCTGCAAAATGGGGATAATAATACTATACACTTCACAGGATCAAATAAGATAATATGCACAAGGTGTTTCACATACACCTTGAAGCCCAATAGAAATGCTATCATCAGCATCATCAATGACCAGACTACCTCAAGGAACACACTGAAAGACTTCATAGCTCTGATCAGTGCAGTGCCCAGACTGACTCCTTCCTCTTGGCAGGGCGGTGGTGGGCTACTGTGCTGAATGACGCATCGATGACAATGAGGCATTTTGATGTATTTTTGTTTTAAAAATTTGCTTAACTGTCTTTCTGTCATGTCACCCCCTTCCCTTGCTCATGAACTCCAATGGCTCCCTATTGCCTCCAGGATAAAATTCAAAATGCTCTGTTTCACCTTTAAAGCCCCTTCTAACCTGGCCCCTCCCACCTCTCCAGTCTTCTTACACCCTTCTCCCCGACCCATACTCTTGGATCCAGGAACTCCGGGCCCCCCTGGCCACTGACCTCCAAACAAAACACGCCATCTCTTGGCTCTGCTCATTCTCTCTGGCCGTCTCCCAAGCCCGTAACACTCCCCTCCTCCATGGCCGACCACTGACCTCCCTGGCTTCCTTCACGTCCCGACTAAAATCCCACCTCCTACAGGAAGTCTTCCCAACGCCTCTTCATTCCAGCACCTTCCCTCTGTTAATTCCATCCTATTTATCCTGCACATAGCTTGCTTTGCATACATTTGATTGCATGGTATCTCCCCCATTAGACTATGAGCTCCTTGAACACAGGGATTGTCTCTTGCCTCTTTTTGTATCCCCAACACTTAAGCACGGTGTCTGGCACACTGTAAGCACTCAATAAATGTTTATGGAATTGAAATTTTGAATTGAATTGCTGAGTAGCAGTATGTTGTGGGGGCTCTGGGTCAAGAAGTCTTGGGTTCAAATCCTCCACTATCACACACTGCTCAGGTGACCCTGGACAAGTCAATTCACATCTTGGTGGTCTAGGCAATTCCCCAAGACAGAGAAGGTCTGTACTGTATTGGTATTGGTAAAGGGAGTTAACTCACTGAGAGTTCCCTATCCCAGTGAAATCACAGGTCAGGCTCCAAAAAACTTAAGTCTTTACTATAATGAGAGGAGGGATGGTGGGAAGAAATGGGTCACTGGAAAAGAGAGCAATTTTTTTAAAGAAAGTAGCAGTAATTGGTTAAATAAGCCTGCCTCCATGTCACACAGCATATTAATGCTCCATCTGGGCCAGGATGCCCGCCTCCTTCACACCAGGCTCATCAACCCCTTTCCATGACCACTTGAACCCTTCCCAGTGTTTAGCCCTTCTCTCCTTCCCATCCCCCTTCACACCCTCCACTGGCCCTGAGCCCTACCAGACCAAGCAATGGAGATACCTCTTCCCCTTCACCTCTTCCCCTGCCCAGTAGGCCCAGGACCCACGTGGGCAGAGTGACTGCCTACAAAACTTGGATGAGACAGAAGCCACCAACTCCACTGGTTCACCCAAGATGGGGTCCAGCAGGCCTTTGCCTCCTAAGGTCCTCCAGGCCTTACCACCTGCCAGGCTTCTTTAGCCTGCAAACCTCTCAGGTACAGCCATGTAACCTACTGATGTAACCTGTGCATTTCTGGCCCTTTCTTTCCACCCTGTAGCTAAATTTCTTGGATGCATTGTCTCCTCTAGTTGGAGTGTCAACTCAATGAAAGCCAAGACCTTCATTCAACAAGGGCTCCTGAGAACCGGAGAGGTCCATGGCTAGGACAGATCAACACTAAGGGCATTCTTAAAAGCCCATGAAGGAAGGAAACTCCCTCACTAACTCAGGACAGTGCTCAGCCCGCGTCACAGAGTAACCTGGGTGCCTCTTACTGCATTTACCCTTTATGAAATAAAAAGGGGGAACCAGGACCCAGAGAACCTCTAACATCTACTCACTTGTGGTGTGACCTTGGGCAAGTGATTTCCCCACCCTCAGCCTCACGTTCTTGATTCCTCATCTATAAAATAAGTGCAAGAGCCGGGGAGGAGGGAGGAAGGAAGGAAGAGAAGAAGAATATTGGCCGAGGAAGTCTCTCAGGCCCCTTCCTGCTCTGATACTCCATGATTCATTTCCTCTTGCTCCATCCTGGGCAAAGAGAGGTCAGCCAGCATTCCCCCATTGGGAGTTCCCCTGTTGGGAATTCCCCTCCTTCCCTAAAGTGTTTCAGAACGTATTAACAACAATGGCTCCCATTTCTAGAGTCCTCTAAGGCCGTTATGCCCACTTTACAGGTGAGGCCATTGACATTTGAAGGGGTTAAGTGATTCATCCAAGGTGACTCAGGCAGTCGGGGGCAGACCCAGGTCTTCCTGACCAGGGCTGGCCCTCCCTCCACCACAATAATACGCCGTTCTTCTTTTCCAGAGAAGAGACACTGAGACTGTACCTGTAATTGCCCTGGTATTGGGGACTTCCAGGGGAGGAAACTCCCTCTACCGATACAGGCTGGTGCTTCTCTCTGTAACTTAGAATCCCAGAGGGTTTCCTGAGCCATCGATGAGAAGGGCAGTGACCTACCCAGGGCCTGGCGGCCAGGACGTGTAGGAGGCAGGATTCGAACCCAGGTCGTCCTGTCTCTGAGGCCAGCCTTTAGCCTGCATGTGTCTTCCCCAGATATGTGCCACAAGGCAGCGTCTAGGAAGGGACCTTACAAACTGGCCAGGGGAAAGAGAAGAAGGCATCACTGAGGGTCCCCAGGAACAGAGCTCTAAAGCCGGTAAGGACCTCCAAGAGCATCAAGTCCCACCTTTCATTTTATAGATGAGAAACTGAGGCCCAGGCACTCACATTTATATAGCACTTCACATCACACTTTACAATTACTTCATTTCTCCAGGCCTCAGTTTCACCCTCCATTCATTCATTCATTCTGCTCTAATCCTGTGATTTCATCAATATAGGGAATTCCCAGTGTGGAAATTCTTCCACCAATGCAGATCACAGAATCCCAAAGTTTAGGAGCTGAACTTAGTCCGATGAATCTGCAGGCACTGAGAGGTTTTGTAATAATAATAATTTTCATGACACTTTGGGGTTTGCAGATCACTTTACACGTATTATCTCCTTTGATTTTCACAACAACCCCATGAGGCAGGTGCTAGTATTATCCCCATTTTACAGATGGGGAAACTGAGGCTCAGGGAGAAAAGAATAGCTCAACACCCTGCCCAAATCCAAAACCCAGCTCAAAATCCATCTCCACCATGGGTAGAGGTATTGTGGGAGGGGAGCACCTTTTCACTATCTGTCCACTGTACCTGAAATGTATTCCCTGCTTATCTCTTGCCTTTTTAAAAATCACTTGTTTCCTTCAAAACTCTGCTCAGACATCACCTCCACCAAGAGGCCTTTCCCAATCCCCACTAGTTACTAGTGCCCTACTCCCACCAAAAGAAAAGTCCTTGCATTGGCTTTGTACATATCTTGTATAGACTTATTTACCTGTGCTATCTCCCCCAATACACTCAAACCTCCCCAAGGGCAGGTTTCGTTTTGTCTCTATCTCCAGCAGTGTCTGGTATACCAAAGGCACTGAATAAAGGATTGTCAATTGATTGCTTTGTCTTTGTGCCCCCAGAACCTAGCATAGTTCCAGACACACAGTAGGTACTTAATAAAGTCTTGTCAATTGATTGCTTTGTCTTTGTGCCCCTAGAACCTAGCGTAGTTCCAGACACACAGTAGGTACTTAATAAAGTCTTGTCAATTGATTGCTTTGTCTTTGTGCCCCCAGAACCTAGCATAGTTCCTGATACACAGTAGGTCCTTAATAAATGCTTGTTGATTGTTTTGCCTTTATATCCACAGCACCTAGCACAGTTCCCAACACACAGTAGGCTCTTAATAAATGACTGGATTTAGCAAGGAGTGTCCAGGGAGAAGAGACAGGACCACGTAAAACTCTTACAATTAGCCTAATTAATAGGTAGGCCTTGTTTTTTGTCCTTGGGCTCAAGCGCACTCTTCAGAGTATGTGCACAAGTACACACACACACACATTCACTCCTGCCTCAAACTACCTTCTCTTCCCCTATCTGTGTATCTGCCCTGTTGCCTCAGTAAAATATAAGCTCCTTACGAACAGGGCCATTTTGATGTGGTCTTTGGATCCCAACCTCCCAGCGTTTTGTGCCCCCTACGGGATTGCTTGAATTGAATATCCCATTGAATACCCCATCTCCCCATCCCCACCAGTATCATCACCCTCCCCCTTCCCACAGAGCATGGTCCAGGTGGTGGAAAGAACTCAGGCCCACGGGGAGGGGCAGCTCTCACAAGGAGGCGGGGAAGGCTGGGAGAAAGAAGAAAGAAGTAAGCTGTTTCCTCTCCTCTTTCCCAGGCAGCATCTCATTATCGGAGCTGCAGCTAAAAATAGGAGGCCCGCTCCCCAGAGCGAGTCTGAGCTCATACCAGAGCCGCCGTTATTTCCAGGTGTTGCCAAAGCGAGCAAGCAGACAGGTCCAAGGAGCGAGGAGGATGGCCCCGGGTACCAGCCTGTGACTGGCAGACATCCAAGGCCACCGGCCTGATAAATAAGACTAACACTAATTAATTTCAGGACTTTCTATTTTTTCAAGCACGTTCCTTTCTTCCGAGCCTCCACAACACCCCCTCGTGTACAGAAAAGGGAGCCAGGCTGGAGGGGGAACGCTTACGCTTGTTTGGGGCCTAGATCCCTCAGGCAGCTAGCTGGTGAAGCCCACGGGTCCTTTCTCAGAATCTGATTTTTAAATATATCAAATAAACTAGGTAGGATTACAGAAGGAACCAATTCTATTGAAATATAGTTGTCAAAAAAAAAATTAAGACCATGGATCCCAAGCTAAGAACCCCTGGCCTGGATGGTCCCTATTGTTTCTTCCAGCATTAGCATTCTATGAGTCTACGACTCTTGGGTCACTTCTCCCTGGGCCTCAATTTCCCCATCTCTAAGTAAGATGAGAAGCTTTCCAGGGATGGATGCAGGTGACCTCCGAGATCTTACCCAGTTCTAACAATTTATGAGTCTAAGCAGGCAGGCCAATTGGCATTAGCTAGATCTAGGTAGACAGAGAGCTAGAAGTCAGGAAGACCTGAGTTCAAATCCAGCCCCAGACACTCAACTAGCTATGTAACCCTGGCCAAATCCCTCAACCTCTGTTTGCCTCAGTTTCCTCATCTGTAAAATGGGGATAATAATATCTCCTAGGGTTGTTGTGAGGATCAAATGAGATACTTAGTGCAGTGCTTGGCACATAAAACACTATAGAAATGGTAGTGCTAATGGTGATGATGATGACGTAGTAGTAGTAGTAGTAGTAGTAGTAGTAGTAGTAGTAATATAATGGACTAAGTTCCTGGGAGACAGGAAGACTTGAGTTCAAATCCTGTCTCAGATGCTTGCTATCTCTGTAACTCAAGGCAAGGCACTTAATTTCAGTCTCAGTTTCTACATCTGTAAAACAGAGATGATAAGAGTACACAGGGTTGTTGTGAAAATCAAAAGAGATAATACACTTGAAATGCTTACATGAACATTATCTATTTCCTCATTTTGACAGATGAATAAAGAGGGAGAAGACTTGTTCAGGCAGACACAAAGTTAGTGATTAGATTAGATTGGTGACGAGGATTAGAATCCAGGACTCATGGCTCACGGAACCACCAAACAGATAAGATCTCCAAGGTTGCTTCCAATTCTCAAACTCTATGAATGTGAAAGTTGGAAGCACCCTCAGATGACATCTAATGCAATTCTACTTAGAGGGGTAACTGAAGGATCATTTCATCCAGTCCAAACAGAAAGACAATGACATCAAAGAACATGTTGAACTCAGGAAAACCTGGGTTTAACTCCTCCCTCCTGATACCTGCCACTGTGTGACCCTGGGAAAGGGACTTTCCTATTCAGTAAATTGGAGCTTAGAAGGGTCCTACCTACCTCACTGGTGAGGCTCACATGAAATAGTCTATAGAAATAGCTCGGCACCAATGGCCGCCATCAATGGCCACCATCATCATTCCTCCGCTTCACAAACCACAGAGCCTCAGAACTGCCAACTTGGCAGGGACTTCAGAGGCCATCTAAACCAAGCTCCATCCAAAAAGAAGCCCTAGTATACCAAACTTGACCAGTGGTTGTCAAGCCTCCAAGGAGGAGAACCCAGCACCCTCAAGGCAGCCCATTCCATTTTTGGATGGCTCTCATTTTTAGAGATTTTTTTTTTTGGTGAGGTAATCGGGGTCAAGTGACTTGCCCAGGGTCACACAGCTAGTAAAAGTGTCAAGTGTCTAAGGACAGATTTGAACTCAGGCCCTCCTGACTCCAAGGCTGGAGCTCTATCCACTGCACCACCTAGCTGCCCCATTTTTAGCAATTTTTTTTCTGACATCTAGGTGGGTAGGCAGCTCAGTAGATAGAGTCAGAAAGACCCGAGCTCAAATCTGACCTCAGACACTCACTAGCCATTTGACCTTAGGCAAGTCACTTAACCTCTGTCTGCCTCAGTTTCCTCAGCTATAAAATAATGGCACCTACTCTGCAAGCTGGTTGTGAAGCTCAGATGAGATAGCATTTGTAAACCTATAAACACTATGTAAATGCTAGATATGTCATTATATTATTTATAACACATCACGTGTAATATATATAAAACACATATGACTTTTATGTGATATATATTTTTAAATCTACCCCTTTGCAACTTTCATGCCATTCACCTGGTTCTACCCCAAGTTAGAGAAAACGCTTAACCCTCTTTCTTCCACAAGATAACCCTTCACAAAGAGCCTGAAGTCAGGGCTCTTGCCCTCTCCTTTTTCTGAGCTAAACAAGCCCAGTGCCTTCAACTGATACTCACATACAATGAAGAAACGTCCCAAGAGGAGAAATGATTTACAAGGTCGCAGAGCCAGCCAAGAACCCAGCAGGAATGAGAACCCGCCTTTCCTGGTCCTGTGCGATGGCTCTGACCCAGGAGGGTGTGGGCACTTGGTCCACTTGGGGAGAAGGGCAGGGAGCAGAAGAGTCAGACTATAGGGCCTTTCCTCCAACACCTGTTACATTTGGAGCACAAGGAGTCAGCCAATAGACAGAGCTCAGCTCTGACCCGGGTCCTCATCTGTAAATCCTTCCATCACTGATCATCTGTGATTCTATTGGCAAACATCTGAACTTCCTGTCCCAGGCCACGAGGGGACAGAGGATCAATTTAACTAAGCATTTATTAAGCACCTACTAAGTATGAGCCTCTACCCAAGGTATCAGAGAGTGAAATTATTATTATCATTAACAGCAACAACATTTCTATCGAACCTACTATGTTCCATGCACTGTGCCAAACACTTTACAAATTATTTGCTATTATTTGGGCAGCTAAGTGACACACTGGATGGAGCACCAGGCCTGGAGTCAGGAAGACCCGAGTTCAAATCCAACCTCAGACACTTACTAGCTCTATGACCCTGGGCAAGTCATTTAACCCAGTTTGCCTCCATTTCCTCATCTGTAATATGAGCTGGCAAAGGAAATGTCAAACCATTCCAGTGTCTGTGAGGTGTTATATTAATGTCCAGGGTCATAGAGTCAGTTAATGTCACAGCTGGGACTAGAACCCGAGTCTCCACTTAGGCCAGAGTTCTTGCCAATATACCATCATGCCTTGCACAAATTAACCATAAGAAAGAGATAATAATCCTGAGCCCTGCCTCACAGGGTTACTTTCAGGATACTAGGAGATAATATTATCTGAAAGAGCTCCAGAAACATTCTTCAAGGAAGAGAATGCTATTCCAAAGGAACGAGCATCCAGTGGTGGAATTCCAGGGGACGTGACAATCTAGTGAGAGAAACATTTTTGTCCAGGCAAGCAAGCAGACTTTGGGGAGAGAGGAGGAGGAGGACGGGAAGGAACAGGGCAGGGCAGGGCTTCTCACCAAGTTTCACGCTCTGCACTCGACCTCCGATGCGGTCTGATGCCTCGAGCACTATGACATCCGTGAAGCCGTGCTCCAGGAGGGCTTTGGTGGCGGCCAGACCAGCCAGGCCAGCGCCAATCACGACCACTCGAGGTTGTCTCCTTCTCCGCAAGCCGCGACTGAGAGGGTCATCCGCACTGTCACCAGAGGTTTCACAACTTTGCATACCGTCCGAGCTCGCTTTCTAAGAAACCTGAAGGTATGGGGCAGCAAGGAAGGGGGAAGAAAAGGAGGAAGAGAATGCTGAGCCTGTCAAGTTTGTCATGCCCCCATCCCTCCTTCTATCCCTCCATCCATCTTTCCATCCCTCCCTCCATCCCTCCCTCCATCCCTCCATCCATCTTTCCATCCCTCCCTCCATCCCTCCTTCTATCCCTCCACCCATACCTCCATCCATCTTTCCATCCCTCCCCCATCCCTCCTTCTATCCCTCCATCCATCTT